AACTTATAGCCTTATAAGAATTAGCTAAGCTGCTAGCTACGTACAATGTATTGCACACTTGATGCCTCTGTACCAAAAACATTCAATTTATTGGAACCTAATACACACTAAAGGCAACAAGTTTATATGCCAATTTGTCATTTATAGTAAATTTATACTAAACCATGAATAACAATACCTCAATATAAATTAAAGACTGCCACTCAATATATTTAAATATATGAGAAAATCAAAAAAAATCAAAAAAATCAAAAAATCATGATTTTTTTATAAAAAATCAAGTGATTTAATCACATGATTTAATCATTTTGATTTAATCATTGCCAACCCTGATAAAAACACCGCAATATATTGCACACCTACATGCTCTTACATGTCAAGGTAGAAATAAAAATATAACATGCAGAAAATTTCCTCAAGAAAGTTTGGTTCTAACTTCTAAATGGAAAAAAAACACTGGCATAATCTGTCCGATTATTTTTGCAAGCTTCAATACATATGATGGTTGTGTTGTCCTTGAGCTGAACATTTTACAACCGCTCGTAATGCGCTGTTGGATCATTAGTTTATCGTGTCGGGTCTCACTAATTGGCAGTCGTGTTGACTGTTGAGTCTCACTATATAGTCGGCAGTCGTATCGTGTCGGGTCTCAGTAGTTGGCAGTCATCATAAGTTTATTGTGGATAAGTCTCTCTAGTTGGCAGTTGTTGAAAAAGATAAATGACCTATTATTTTAGCTCAAAAGTTGTTGTAAAGTAAAAAAAATTGGTCGATAACTTTAGCGAAAGTTGGTAAGATTCTGAAGACTATTGCCACTGTATGGGACCTGGCCCCTTGCTTCTCAAATGAGTAGCACTGAAGCACTCCAGCCATCCTGTTGGATACAGATGATGCAGAGGGTGCAAGCAGCGTCACCAATATATGGATTTATACCCCAAAGTGTCGCCAGCCATTTTCAAGATTTGTCACCGGGTAATTTTAAAAAGAAAATGCTGCTAACAGTGATAGTATATCCCTTACTCTCCACTCACTGCAACACTTATAACTCAGTAGCTATCTGGCAGTCAGACACGTGGCAACATCTATTGAGAAAGCGACAAAGTAAAGCAAGGCTTGACACGATTCTGGTGCCCAGACCGCCTAGAGGCTAGAGATGGTGCTGTGCTCTTATCAACAAAGCCATTGTGAACCCTACGTTCTAGCAACTGTTGCTTAGTTCCAGAATCATTATTGTTCTCATTATTCACTGCATCTGCCGCTTGCGGTCTTTTAGATTTTCAACTATTTTATAAATAGTAGGCCAAAGACTGGTGAATATCTATAATGCAATAATTTCAATCCAAATGTATTGACAAGAACTTCTGACAGCATACCTAAATTTTGCTGCTGATGTGTTGCCAAAGATCTTGCAATATTCACCCCCTTTCTGCACAGTAGGCTGCTGACAACTCGGAGTGAGTGACATGGTTAGCACTTGGCAGCACTGAGGGCAAATTGGCAATTTTTGACACTTGACATTTGACCAAACTCAAATAGGGTAAATGCACCATATTCTGACATCATGGGTAATTCTGAAACTTCTCAACTTTTTCCTTTATATTAAGCCTTGTCTTAGATCCACTCATGCGTAGATGGTTGACATAGTGACGTCATACTATTGCGCGCCAGATTCCTGCAAAACACTAGGTCTGGCGGGAAAATGTTAAGATCCTCAGAGCAAAAGTCCAAGTCAACTAGTGAGAACAACAAAACACATGTCAAAGTTGATAGTTGACCTTACTCTACCAAATAGTGATAAACTGTTTGTGTAGAAAAAATATTTTGATTTGAGACTATTAAATAAGTCTGTGAAATAAATTAATAGATGATTAAGTTAAAAGACGGTTTTAGACACATAAAAACTAATTCCGACACAGCTTGGAATTGGACACGCACAGCTTGTTCCGAGCTGTGTTCTTATTAAAAAAATCTTATTAAAATTTTCTTAATTGAAAGCTTAATAGCTCTTAATTAAAAGTTTAATTAAATAATAAACATTTTTTAATTAAGCATGTTCCGAGCTGTTTAATATTCCAATACAGCTCACACAATGCGTCGGAATTCCAACACACTTACACAGGGTGTCAGAATTACGAATTAGTAAGAGTTTGAAGCACTGTTGGAATTAGTCTCTCAATATGACAAATTTAGTCACGCACAGCGTTGAAATTCAGGGATTTTGTAGATTTGAATTCTAAAGGCTTTGAAATAAATATGGCAACAGTTTCAGTTTGTGACATTTCATCGTTGCTGGTGTATAGTGTGGGGTTTTGAGACTCAGATTGAGAGTGATGTAAAGCCACACTCAGGAAGATGTATATAAATGGGGAAATTTCTCGCGTAAATCAATCTAATTATATTTTTTTTGCGCAGACGTTCGTGCAAATCACGGTCATCGATTCCGCGCCGCGCAGCACTCGGCGCGGGCCGTGGAGCCATCCAACACAGTTCTGATTTAGACACAGTTTTCATCTGAATGGAATGGCAACATCGTCTGTAGATGATTTCAAGTAACGCTGAACCAGCATTGCCAGATGGTATATTTCCTGTCTCTTATACACATCTAGATGTGTATAAGAGACAGGTAATCTACACCCCAAAAAACATATAATTAAAAAAAAAACACCCTTTTTTTTGGATGTAGTTAATCTGCAATAATACCGCCATTTTAATTATGCATTTGCACAATAATGCTGTTAAATGCACATACAAGTGATACAACTGACCTAGGAGTGACTCAGTGATAGGTAGGACAACATGAACAAAATGTTTATGTTTCAGAAGCAGGAAATTTTACAAGTCAGATAAGGCTCTGATGCCCAAAACAAATGTGAATTTGGAAAGAGTTTTAATAAAAATCACAGCTTAGAAAAATTGTTTTAATTTTCAATGGTGATTCTTGAAAATTGCAGGCATAATCTTTTAAATTAAACTAAAATGAAATGTGCATGGAACAATGTTATGTAATAATGTAAGATTCAGTAAGAAATAGTCAAATAGGCATTTATTTAATTCAAGCTTTCCATAAAACCACCCTGATCTTAAATCAGAAAAAAAAAACATAAATTCCTGATCTAATTGCACTCAATCCCTCTCCAGATTGACAATGATCGCAAGTCCACAGTTGCTAACTTGCCAAACTATATTAATTCAAGTAAATCGTTAAAAAATACTTGCCTTTGAGGTAACCGGTATCAGTTCCGATGTAAACATGGTTGGTAGAATTAGGTTTATTTTCTAGCTCTTCATCCATTTCTTCAATAGGTATATTGTCAAAAATGTTCCAGACTAATCCACTGACCAAATACTAAAACGCTACTATTTTTCAAGGCAGCGTCAATACGGTTAAACTATTTTTCAATTTCCACACAATTGGTTGGCTCTCAAGTTAACGTGATTGGGATTAAGACCCATATTGATGAAAGTAAGAAATCTCATCATGTAACATGGATCGTAGAACAAAAATTGAGACTCAATTGATGGTATCCCTTTAATTTGATTATATCCCCAAAAAATTCGAGAATAATTCAAGTGACAGCTATCATGCATGAAATATATTTAATACGTTATTATTGAAGTTATGAGGTTAACTATCAGAAGTAGATTGAGAGATTAATAATGTTTTAATAATGTTTAATGTGGCAAAACATTAACGTTTTGCCAACAGCAAACAAAATTGAAAAAAATTCCAACTGATATTTAATATATTTCTGGAGCCGTCTAATCGTTATTTAAAACGGATCACAGCATCCGCTTCGTAGCATTGCGATCAAGCGCGCGAATAAAAATCGTAGCCTGTTAGCCAAACACAGCCTCAGAGCCATGGTTGAACTAATACAAGGTTGACCCACGGCGATGATGATTTTTCGCTGTTCTGCGCATCTCTCGAGTGACGTCACTGTGGGCACAAAATGTAGACCAACACACTGTTCTGTTTTTGTGTCATCTTTGTAAGCATTTTAAAAAATTGACCTCATCAAATGACCCAATAAATTTATTTACTGCATAGTCTTAGAGCGTTCTCAGTGAATCGCATGGACTGTAGTTGGAGGATCGAATGGTGAAACAATGTATGAATGTAAGTGATCGGGAGTCGAGAACTACTAGCGGCACTTTGGTTTTCTGTCTACAGATCTTCCTGTGTCTTTTCTGGACCGTCTTCAGTTCTGAGCGTCTGTGCAGCATCTCCATCTACTATACTTTTCGCAAAATCTTGGCTGTACCTACGTTTTTTGATTAATTACGTTAGTGCCTCGCTATCAACGCACAGAGAGTCCTCTATGTTGCGCTCGGCTAATCGTGCATATATGAGGCAAAACAAGCGCTTTTTTATGAATATAGAAAGTTTTATCGTGTAACCCCATTATAGACTGGGGCACTTGCATCCTTAATGACAAATCGACAAATTTAAGAATATTTCAATGTGATATTTTTGGTTTTATGAGAATAAGCAAGTAATTATTGACAGCAGACTTGTGAGTGCACAGGACACACTCTCGTGCAAGTGAGTGTAGTCGCGTGATGTGAGGCTGGGTTAATTTCTTCTCTCTAAATAAGGGGTAAATCCCAAGGAATATTACCGCCTTAACAAATCCGCAATCGTGTTCTAGGTCTTACTCGTGGATTCGTGGATTAGACATAATTTGCAACATACCATTTTGTATGATTTTGAATAGTTTTGCCAGTAGGTGTTGCTTCCGGAAGCAATTGTTACTCATGCATGAAAATGAACTGATTGATTGTTAATGAAATAAAAAAATTTTTATGAAAAATAGTGATATTATATGAGCATCACTTATCCCTAAACATGAAATTTTTTCCATAACCTTTTTTGGTGTTACTGTAGCTAATCTAATTACTTGCAATGTATAGACCAACAATTGATTAATCGGATAATGTAATACCAGGCAGACATCATCACATTATCCACCCAACATATAGTACATACATCGCATAGAAAGCAGCACCAAATTATATCCTATTAATATATTTTCTTAATTTAAAAATACCAGTTCAGCAGCCGCTCTGTGTCCATTTAAGTTGCCGTTCTGTGTAAAACATTCACGACGTATTTAGATCATATATAAGTACTTATACTATCAGTCTGCTTATATCGCAAGTTCACAAGGAATTTAAAAGCAAAGAAAACGCCAAGAAAATTCACCATATCTCTCCTCATTCTGCCGTGCGCCTCCATGCTGAACAGTGCGACGTGGCTGTATCTGAGAGTGATTTCAGGATACTCGGTTCCACTTCTGGCTGCTCGGATTTGGGAATTTTTTAGTCTCTACATATCTTCAAGCGAAAACCGTGTCTCAATAATGCGTTTAGTTCATATAATCTGGAAATAGTGAATCGTTAGGCTTTTATGTTCTTATCGTGAACCCTAGGACTATGTTGTTCCAATCGTGTCCTGTTTTTTCGATATAATGTTAGGTCTTGTTTAGGTTTTATGTCTGTCTTAGAATTTTGATTTTATTCATTTTTAGTTTAGTCGAACTGATGATGGAGCTGGACTCCGAAACGTTTTCAATATCGATATGGTGAATTTGCTTGGTGTTTTCTTTGCTTTTAAATTCCTCGTGAACTTGCGATATAAGCAGACAGATAATATAAGTACTTATATGGATATATGAATTTGATCTTGTATTTTGTTTCTTATCTGACTTGAACAATAACATCGCCTCACATACTATTGATGATGAGTCGGCTCGAATTTCAATTTTAAGCGAGATGAAGTGGAAAATTACTGACATTTTAAATGGTTATCAGAAAACCGAAGAAAAAAGGTAATAAAACTGGGTGCGTTAAACGAGGCCTCGAGGTTCACGCTGCAATTTTCAGTTTCATATACATTTCAGTTATGGATTTTTGTATATTTCTCTAATTTTTTGGATTTTCCATATCTTAAAGATATGTTTTAAAGTTCTAATTAGTGTTTAATATAAACGTTCTAAACGTACCCAATGTATTACATACATCGTTAAAAATATTTCAGCTTGTACACGGAAGTTTTTTTTGTGAATCCCCTTAATAATTTTCACAGAAAATAAATGTCACAGCGTAAACTAAAGAAAATTTACCCTCGGCACAAGGTTGACCACTGCATTGATGCCGGCCACTTAGACCTTCATCCACTGCATTGATGCCGGTCACTTAGACCTTCATCCACTGCATTGATGCCGGCCACTTAGACCTTCATCCACTTCATTGATGCCGGCCACTTAGACCACGACGCTTCCCAAGCTCAGAGCCTCAGAAGGAATGTATATATTAATATAAACTATACATAATGGCTAATAAAAAGAATATTTGCAGCATTGTTGCTAGAAATGTTGGTCACATGTTCGATCTGGAGTGATTTTGCTTACCAATTTGGCAGGATTTTGATCTTGAATCTTCGATCATATGCATGAGTGTGTTTCTTATCAACATCACCAAAGTCAAACCAAACTTGTACTATGTAAATTAGTCGCGTGGAGAGGCAAGTTGGAACCAAAACTTCACTCAACACCAGATTGTACGAGACGATCACCAATAAAGGCAGGATTAGTGGACTCGAAACAAAGTAGGTGAGGACGCAATGGCTACGGTCAACAATGCCTAGACATGGGTTGCTCACGGGAGGATTGCTTCGTAACGACTGGCCTAAGGCTCGGTCCACCTCTCCTGTCGAAGATTTCCAACCGATTCTTTCCGTCATCGAATTCACAACCGTACAGCTATAAACACTTTACTCGAGAATTATTTTATTTCGGATTTCTAATACATCCGCAGTGGTTTCAAGGGGCGCATGTCTCATACTGTATAATTCGTGTGAGATATAAAATTTTACGTCAAATTACGCAAGTTTCATAGTTTCTCCCAGTTTTCATGTAACGCTGTCAATGAAAAAAATATTAATACTCTATTTTTGTCACGAGAATTGAGTTATTCCAGTAATTCATGTATTAATGAATTAGCAAGAAAAAATATTTTGATAGGGTAACTCAAATAATTATACAATAGGATTGAACTATTCTGAAATCAATTGTTCCAAATTCCGTAAATTTTACCTAGATAATTTCTGTATTTGAAGTAAAAAATGAATAAATTGCGTTATTTTACCCTCGAATAGCTTTAATAATTGGCATATTTCGAGTTTGCGCTCAGAAGAAGCTGTTGGACATAAGTGCCCGGCAGTAATTAGCCGCACCAATGTTGTAATTTTACACGAGGCCATGTCGGTTGTAAATTTCTTAATTAGTTGATATTCCATTTGCCGCAGGTCACAATGTTATCCAGAGTAGCACTTCCGTCCTCAATTACTGGGCACTTCAAAAAGTTAGACCTAAACTCAAGGCTTTCGATGCGGCCGAGTAGTCAAAGATTCATTGATTGATTCCATTTATTGGCACACGCTTCACTTCAAATAAAGTTTATTCCATTATTTCGCGCAGAAAAACTTTGAAAGCCCAAATTTTATCGTATTTTCAGGGCTTGTATGCAGTTTTTAAACGATAGCTAAAACTTTGCCATTAATGCGAATAATGATCAAAATTACTAATTTTTCATGACATCTATTTAAGGAGCAATTATAAAATATCTACTATATGCTACATAGAAAGCAGCTTCATCGAAGATCCATGAGGGCTGCATGCTCGCGGATACTACCCCCCTCCCATAGTAAATTTTTAACAATCTACATTTAATCTCATATTCCCAGTGGGCGTTCGTCTCATATACATCAATTTCTACTGAATACATCAGAAATAAAAATATTTTATTGGCAAATTCAATTATGTTAAACTTGCTATGTGTGTCATCAACTCACACGATTTTAACCTGCAATAAATTATTATTACCATCGAATTCTTTCTCAAACATCGATATGGATTTTCAAAATGAGAGCAACATGATAGGTTTCAAGTTAAGATGCTGCAATTTAAATTTTTTTCATGTCATTTCCTGACAACACACACTGAGTTTTATAGCAAAGAAAACGAAATCAACGATTAAAGGACTTATGCAAGAGTCGCGTATCGGAATCCAATTAAATGTTTTTCACAAGATATAAACCTAGAAGTTAGAAACACAACAAAAAGTAGTGAAGAATGAAGCATTCTGCAGGGGAATTAATTGGAAGATGTAATAGCCTCAAAATTGTTAGCGGAACTGATTTTCCTATAGCTTATCCTCGAAAGCTGTGTAAACATAAAAAACGGGACAAGAAAATCTCGATTCCAGGGGAGACTACTTTCTTGTGACGGCTGCACACGTGGCTCAGTCTGGACTCTGGAGGCTGTGGCTGAGCCAGCGCTTCCCATTTGTAATTGTACAAATAGGCGAGACTTCCTGAGTTCCTGTAAATGTCCATAAAAAAAAAAAACAGTTTTAGTTGCTCGAGCGTGTTTTAGTAATAATAACTG